TTTTTTTTACATAATATATGTGGGTGCACTGTGTATAATTATTTTATATATATAAATACACACACATGCTTGTATATATTTAAGAAATATTTTCATGTATATACTGTATATAGATTTATATATAATTTATATTATATATAAATATAAATATTTTATATATAAATTATATTTTTTTCTTAAATATACATGCATGTGTGTGTATTTATATATATACAAAATAATTATACACAGTGCACCCACATATATTATGTAAAAAAAAACTTTTATTTTGGATGTGATTAATCGTGATTAATCATTTGACAGCCCTAATAAATACATATTCTTTGGCTTTAATATTTGTATTGTGTGGTAACCGTTTAATAACAGCAATAATGTACTCGAGGCTAGTGCTGTGTCGGGAATAACTCGGCTTACGTAAATAAGCATAACTGAGTCACGCACCACTCTCCTTCGGGTCTCGGGACAGGAGCGCAGCTGGTTCTCCAGGGCGGATAACGACCTCAGGTCTTCGATGGGAAAGCGTCTTTGATTTAAGCAGTCGGCGTCTGAGTTTTCCCGCACACCGTGTGGTTGCAGATCCTGAACCATCCTTATTAAGCTCATCTGCTGCCCGATAACAATCTCCTGTTTAGTGGTCAGGTCGTGAAGAAGCGCTGAAACATTAAACAGGAATTGTAAAGTTACATACGAGTGTGTGTTTATTCTAAATGATTTATAGGTGCACATCATCATTATTGTTTTGGTAATCTTGAATCAGAATAAGTTCCTCTTGCAGCATCTCTTCTCTGATGATGTGGGCGGGGCAACCTGTCACTCACATGAGATCAGCCAATAGCAAACCACAACCATCCAATCAATTCCTCACAGACACAATCAAGCCCCGCCCACTGTTGTTCTTGTTCCAGAAGCGTTTCACTCGATATACGACACAGAGGAGAAAAGACCAGCGCAACTTACATTTCATGACGACTTTAAAGTCCCCCTGTGGTGAAAATCCAGCGTTTAATGTTGTTTATGCGTCTATGTGGTGTTTTTAATACGCTTTAAGACACACCATGTGTAAGTTCATAAGTCGACAGCATTGCTGAGTATTTTCTGCTTAAAACTGCAGTGAACCAAAGACAGTCTCAAACACACGGTTTGAAATCGCTGGTGTTTCTGACGTCACAAACGACCTTGTAACCAATCAGATCAACGTGTGATCGTCAACCAGTGGATCTCTGAGCTGAGGGAGTGGAGGAGGGGCTCATTTGCATATTCATAGAACCGCCCATACTAAATGAGGCGAGGGTGTCGAGTTACATTCAAGATATTTTAAAGGCATGACGAATTAAAAAAGTTCAAAGATCAATGATCAAAGATGAGTTTTAAGGGATTAAATGATTGACTACAGGGTGACTTCAAGGCCTGTTCACACTTTATTGTTAACTGTAACAGATCCTGAACCATCCAAATGTTGGCGTACTTGGTATTGAGGAAAGGTCTGATGGGGGATTATCACACGCACTGCAGTGTTAAATGTGTGTGGAAAGATTGTATTCGTGTTTTTTCGAAGAAATTAAATTTCCGATATATTGTATTTAAATAAGTCAAGCACTTTTCAAGCACCTCTTCATAAATATGGCTGTTTTCAAGGGTTTTCCAGGACTTAAATTCCCAAAAGTCAAATTCAAGTACTTTAAGCACCTGTTCTTACATGTGGGATCGCAGCACGAGAGCTCGTCTCCTGACTCAAAGCGCTCGAGCATATAATAATACAACAGGCGTATAATAAACAGAACATTCTCTGCCTTTACACTCAACGTATGATGGATTATGAGCTTCTTACATCTGATGAAGGGGTCGCAGCACGAGGGGCTCGTCTCCTGATGCCACAGTGACGGAGTCGCCGGTTCTGGAGACTGGGGGTCCGGTGTGGTTCTCTCGGGCCACGGCTCGGGAAGCTCAATCGCCTGGCATGAAGACGACGACCCGAGAGTCACGTGATGCCACTCCAACACGGGTGGCGTTGAGGGTTCACTCGGGCCCGTCTGGGGCCGGACAGGGGCCAGGGGTCGACTCGGCTCGTTAGACGCTGACAGAATCGTTTTTTTGCATGGAGGTTGTATTTGAGGGGGTAAATCAGTGTTTTGGGGTGCGACGGCCTCCAAATCAGCGTCGTATTCATCCAGAAGCCGTCTGTTTCGTCTAGAAATTGGATAGTTATTAAGTTAGGGTGGTACATCCATAATATTCAGTGAAATATGTGTGTTTGTTCATACAGCAAGTGTTTCTGTCGTGTTTTCCAGCACAGATATATCTAAACATTCTTAAATCAAGATACATTTACTGGAGAAGAAGCAAAATGGCTGTTTGTGATTAAAACGAGAACAAATATCTGCAGATAGAGTCAGAAATATAATCTTAATTCAAAGAGAAAACAAGATTATTTTTCTATTTGTTCTTGTTTTAAGCACAAACTCACTTCATTTTAATAATTGTTTCATTAAACAAGACTTAATATCTTCAGTCATTTTGCTTTAGGGATTAGAGATGCATGATATATTCATTATGTTCATTTTTAATGTTATGGTTATCGGCGTGGCCGATATATTAAAGCGATGAATAATGGATTATTTCCTTCAGATGCGCACTGTTCAACATCAAGGTTTTGAATTGCTTGAAATATGATTGAAATCACTTTGAAAAGGAAAATACAGTAAAGTGCAACATGTGACGTCATATTGGCTATGTAATCGTGTGTTTGGGTCGTGGCTTTTAATGCTGAGACTTTTGTTTTTGTAATCAGGCTCTCAAAAATTATATAAAAATTTGGGTTTAGATTTATCGGCCAATAAAATGTTCCGATCCAATCTGACTTGTAATGCTGCCCGAATCATGCACTGTTCTTCCGTTGGCCAGAGGAGAACTGGCCCCCCCGACTGAGTCTGGTTTCTCCCAAGGTTTTTTTTCTCCATTCTGTCACCTGATGGAGTTTTGGTTCCTTGCCACTGTTGCCTTGGATTTTGGCTTGCTTAGTTGGGGACATTTAACATTTAATATTCAATAATATTATTGATCTGCCTTACTTAAGGTGGACGTTGACGCAATTTCTTTTAGAAACAAACTTTGTTATATTGTTATATTGTTTTTGTTATATTGTTTTCATGTTATCACTGTGAAGCGCTTTGATACAATCTGTATTGTAAAAAGCGCTATATAAATAAAGGTGACTTGACTTGACAATATATCGGTTATCGGCATTCAAATATAAAACATTATCGGTATCAGCGTGGAAGTATTGTGATTACATGAGGTAAATATGGCCTAATGTAATTGCATGTAAACGTGATACAAAGACCTTTTAGACAGATTTACACACACAGACACTCGTACTTTATTTTGTGTTTGAGTGTCCTCGGGGAGCCGGTCCCGTCCTGTAAGCGGACATCATTCTGCTGTTCCACGAGAGGAAGCTTTCGCATCGCTTCACTGTAACTATCTATCAACGACAGGATTACACAATCAAAATACATACACATTTGTTTACTGCGGTTACACTGCAAATATGCTTTTCTTACTTAGTATTTTTGTCTTGTTTCCAGTCCAAATATCTAAAAATTATTCAATCAAAGTGCATTTACTAGATGAGTAAAAATAACATAAGATATTATGTCTTGTTTTCCGGGGGAATTAATCAAAATTAAGTGAGTTGTTGCTTAAAACAAGCAAAATGATCTGCCAATGGGGTAATGTTAATTCAAACAGGAACAAGATTATTTTTCTGACCCCATTGGCAGATCATTTTGCTTGTTTTAAGCAAAAACTCACTTAATTTTTATTTATTTACCCAGAAAACAAGACCTAATATCTTATGGCATTTTACTACTTTAGTAAACGCTTCTTGATTTAAGACTTTTTTGATATTTGGACTGAAAACAAGACAAAAATACTAAGTAAGAGAAGCATTTTTTGCAGAAATTAAATGCATTTTGCAAACAGGATTTGTACATACTTGCAGTATACATGATTTTAACCTTATGGGCCGCCCAGGACTCCTGCGGCTGCTCCGAGCTCTCGCTCGCTCTCTGAACGCCCTCATCCATGTACGGAGGCCACGAACACACACCGTTCTTCACCCAGAACGCAGGCACGACCTCCACCTCTTCAGTGTCCACAAAGCTGATAATGTGGTACATGTTTCCTGCCAACACAACTAATATGAATCAATTAATTAGATTGTCTAAAGGCCCTGATATACTCATGGCAAAGATCTTTCATTCTTCATTTGTTGTACTTTATAGTTCAGCCTTAGCTAAAAATTGGTCTTTGGTCTCGCCATGCAATCACAAAACAATTAACAATACACAACATCAATATCAAAGCTTAAAATATTCACATTTCCTACCCCTTATTCAAGACTTATTGCATTTGGCACAAAAAGATATTGCTTGTGGTGTTCTATAATGACGACGAGATGGTAATAATTCAAAAACATGATTCAAAGGGTGTGTTTGTCTCTTGCTATAGTCATGAGCTTTTCTCTGAACAGCAATTTCATATAATTGATCGACTGACTTTTGCATGGATCCCATGATTTCACCTGCTAATTCTGTTTCATTTGACTTTATTCACAGATGTAACTGGTCCGAACCACACAGTTGTGTTATACCCTAAAACACTCAATTAAACTAATATAAACTCTTTGCAGAACAACCTGACTTACAGAACATTCTCTCAATTTCCTTAGCCAGAATAGCCTTGAGGTGAAAAGAAGTTTGAAATAGTGGTATACTGTTAGCGTATCCCAACACTGCTGTTTGAGCGCTTTCCTCTCAAAACGAAATAAACGCACAACAAAAATGTGAAAACAGCAGCTCAGAAAGCATCTGATCACACAGCACTTTCTACAGTAGATGCTTTAAATCATCAGCTTTACAGTATTAAACATGAAAACCAGCGTCAGCTTCAGTCTCTATTATAAAGCGTCTCTCAGTGTGTTCATGTTCATCTGACCTCGACCGACTGAACACAAGACATGAAGATTTACACCTCGAAGAGGGCGGAGCCTCAGAGACACGCCCACTTATTACATCATCACCACACGGACCAATGGGAGTCCACACCCAACTGTTACATCATCACCACACGGGCCAATGGGAGTCCACACCCACCTGTTACATCATCACCACACGGGCCAATGGGAGTCCACACCCACTTATTACATCATCACCACACGGACCAATGGGAGTCCACACCCACTTATTACATCATCACCACACGGACCAATGGGAGTCCACGCCCACTTATCACATCACCACACGGACCAATGGGAGTCCACACCCACTTATTACATCATCACCACACGGACCAATGGGAGTCCACACCCACTTATTACATCATCACCAAACGGACCAATGGGAGTCCACACCCACTTATCACATCATCACCACACGGACCAATGGGAGTCCACACCCACTTGTTACATCATCACCAGACGGACCAATGGGAGTCCACACCCACTTATTACATCATCAACACATGGACCAATAGGAGTCCACACCCACTTGTTACATCATCACCAGACGGACCAATGGGAGTCCACACCCACTTATTACATCATCAACACACGGACCAATGGGAGTCCACGCCCACTTATCACATCACCACACGGACCAATGGGAGTCCACACCCACTTGTTACATCATCAACACACGGACCAATGGGAGTCCACACCCACTTATTACATCATCACCAGACGGACCAATGGGAGTCCACACCCACTTGTTACATCATCACCAGACGGACCAATGGGAGTCCACACCCACTTATTACATCATCAACACACGGACCAATGGGAGTCCACGCCCACTTATCACATCACCACACGGACCAATGGGAGTCCACACCCACTTGTTACATCATCACCAGACGGACCAATGGGAGTCCACACCCACTTATTACATCATCAACACACGGACCAATGGGAGTCCACGCCCACTTATCACATCACCACACGGACCAATGGGAGTCCACACCCACTTGTTACATCATCACCAGACGGACCAATGGGAGTCCACACCCACCTGTTACATCATCAACACACGGACCAATGGGAGTCCACGCCCACTTATCACATCACCACACGGACCAATGGGAGTCCACACCCACCTGTTACATCATCAACACACGGACCAATGGGAGTCCACACCCACTTATTACATCATCACCACACAGACCAATGGGAGATCAGAGGTGTTCACCAGCCCGAGTCCGGAAAGATTTCTTTGGCAAACTCGAAAAACAAACTCCAAACAAACTTTGTTCTGGCTTGATTTTGTTTGAAATTAAGTTCTTCGATTTCGCCCCGAGTGTATATTGGGGCCTTAATCAGAGCACAAAACCTATTAAAACACTTCAATTTAAATGTAAAGGGGAAGAAGAGCAAACCTGTCCATTCCCTCAAGCACCAACCTCACATACTTGTGTATATTTTGTCTGTGATCTGACGCTGATGGAAGCGCATGGTTAGCGGCAGCGGTTCTGTACGGTTCGTCCACGTGCCGGCGGTTCGGAGACACACCTGTGGCGAATCGCTCACCTGTTTCCAGAGGAGAAGCGTCCAAACTCAGGGCTCCGGAGTTCGCTGGATATTCCTGGGACACCGGTGAATTCCACATACCAACGGGCTTCATTTTACTCGTTAAGATAAAATCACTACCTACAGATTGACGAACAAAGAACAGAGTTCATAATTCAGAGAGGCCCATAATTCTAAAGATTGGTTAGTTGAACTAGTCGTGATATGAAGTGATCTCTGACCAACTCTAGCTGGTCCTGTTGTTCCCGTGCCGAAACTATCCTGGTCTTCCACCTCTGGACCCAACGGGGAAAGAGCAGGAGAAACTAGGGATGAAATCAATCAACCAAATAAGCATAAAATGATTGAGAATGTATAGAAGAATATCATATTTTGGCATCTGATATAAAACAGAAAAGCACTATCATAATTCTTAGTGTGTTTTACTCGGTCCACTGTCCCACTGTTCGTCCTCCATGTGTTCCTCTTTGATCTGAATGGATTTGATTCCGTCTTCCTGCATGAGCCTGCATACCTCTGATGAGAAAACAGTGGAAAATGATGGATAAAACATTATACAACTTCTACATATACATGCATTGTTAAAGGTGCAGTAAGCGATTTCTGAGAAATGCTGTTGATATTTAAAACCACCAAAACAAACGCCTCTACTCCTCTTGATTGCTCCGCCCCCAAAGTCACAATCACCTCCCCCATCATAAGTGGGCACGCCCCTTATTGCTGATTGGCTACAAATGTGTTGTTGCGCTCGGTCTGATCCACTTTTTTTTCAAGAGTTTCTCACAAATCGCTTACTGCACCTTTCAGGGGAAGGTTTGCTTAAAAACAAAACCTCTGTCATCATTTATTCAAACGTTCTGCGTTACACAAGAATGAACCTCATTGGTTCTCGCACGTCAAGTAAACATGTTTAAGCTTCCGTTTACAACTAATGTGTTAGTTGATGAATGTTTATTTGTTTATAAAAGCCTAAATTCAATCTGTTCGTCATTTAAAACCACGAGTCTCTTTAGAAAGTTTGGTCTATTCGATTAATTCATATGGATAAGTTTTACAATCTCATTACGAACTGTTCAAAGTGTAGTTGCATAGACTGTCAATGGAGGGACAGAAATCTCTTTTCCTCTTTCATTTGTGTTCCGAAGATGAACAGAAGTCTTTGTTTGGAATGACATGAGGGACATTTTCATTTTTGGGGTGAACCCTTATAGTATTGTAACATAATAATGAATCAAAGCATACCCAGATAGCAAATGTTGTGTGACCCCTCATCCGGGCCTCATCTCTGGCACATATGGCTCAGTTTTGGCAGCGGAAAAGGTCACATGGGCCACACACACCAAGCCACAACTCACACTAAATCCAGCTTGATGTATGTGGGCCAGATGTGGCCCATGTGACCTTTTCCACTGCCAAAACTGAGCCATATGTGCCACAGATGAGGCCCGGATATAGTATGCTATCTGGGTATGGAATGAGAAATGGAAAATTTGATGACGAGAGCGCAATTGACAATGAAAGCGGAGTAAGTTGATTTATCGGCGTTTAATATGCTCTCGTTCATAGAGATTCTTAGATTGATATCGAGGCTTTTTAGGTTGCGTGGAATCTGCAATCTCTGACCCAGTTTGTTTGCTCGTTTCCAAGGCTAAAACACCCTGTGTTTCCTGCTAACTGGCATCCCGGGGTGTCGAAACACTATTGGGTGAACTTGCAGTGGGCGGAGTCACACAGACCAAAACAAAAACAGACATACCAACACGGAACGCACATTTCAAAGTATAATAACGAGTGTGTGAACTCAGCATGTTTCCTTAATATCTGCAAACATGGTATTTTTATGCTTTCGTAGAGTGAAAAAGTTACATACAGCACCTTTAAAGAGCGAAAATTACAAAAGGCAGGGATGAGTCCCGCATCATGTCGAGTTTAAACAGTGCCATGTGTGACTGAAGTACCTCTCTGTCCGCTGGTGTTCACTTGTGTTCCCACTGAGCGCAGGTTCGACTGGTTCTTTCGGGCTGATCGCAGTTCGCTCTCGGTAAACTGCAGTTTGAGCATCAGCGTCTCGACCTCCATCTTCCGGCGCGTCATCTCCTGCTCCACCGCGCGACTCATCTCCAGCAGCGCGCATTTGGCGAAGCGCTCGAGGATCGACGCGAGCGTCGCGTGGATATCAGCCGACGCAGACATTAGAGCCGCTTAATGGCGAACAATACAAGGCTATTGTTTTTTTAATAAAGACAATGGTGATTCCGAGCCTTTCCTCGCGCTGGGTTAATAGTCGAGCATGTACCAATGTTTACACAAATCTCACAAAAGAGATGACCAGTTCCTAGTGAAGTGACGTCACCGTTTGAAGGACCAATAGAAGTCGGATGGTTTCGTTTCAATACAATAAAACCTAGTTTAGAAGCGCCATAGAAAAACGCACTGACCCGAATTACTGAGAGATGTGTTTCACAACATGCTAAAACATTTTGGTTACACTTTATTTTAAGGTGTCATTGTTACAGTGTAATTATATATGTAAGTACTGAGTATTATTAAGTAACTACATGCACTACATGAGTTGGTTGCATGTAATTATACATAATTTACTGTTATTACTACATGTTATATGTAACAAGGACACTGTCAAATAAAGTGTTACCAAAGTTTTAATTCCAAATATTAATTTTCAACAGAGTAGAAGTTACTTCTAGTGAATATTTGACCATGGCGAAAGAGGTAATCATTATCACATCACTATTTATTTTTGATGTACAAGTCTTGCATCACATGATAACTTTGTTGTTTATAATAAACATTTTGTGCCGAATTTTAGAGATGGCCAGATTTACCATTCTGAAACCTGAAATAACATGAATATGAGTAAAAACAGCAAAAAAAACCACCATATATTTATAGTGAAAATACTAATTTATTGAAATTAAATGCATAGCGTGTTGAATGTATACAACAACAGAAATAAAAATACATAAAACAATTTCCTGTCTATACAGATTGTCTTGTTCCTAATTAAGCCGTTGTGTTAGGTCTTTATGCATTTGTCCTTGAATGCATTAGCATTTATAACACAATGATCAACATTAAACCATTAAGGGTGAAAATGAACCACTGACATCAGATAATTATTTAATATGGAAACACTTTACAATAAGATCTCATTTGTCAACATTAGTTAATACAATAACTAACATGAACTATCAATATATTCTTACAGCATTTATGTTAGTTCACAGTGCATTAACTAATGTTACATACAAATTTTGATCTTAAAAATGTAAATGTTCAAATTAACATGAACTAAGATTAATAAATGCTTCAGAAGGATTTATCATTGTTAGTTCGTGAAACTATTTTATAGTAAAGTGTTACCATTAATATTCATAAGAGTGGCTGAGTTTATTTTGTATGAATACTGAGATTTAGACGAAGAAGACTATAAAAATATGTATTAAATGATTTGAGATACATAAGCTATACAAACAGTCTCACCCCCATATATTTATATATTTTATCATAAGAAAATTACTATATTGAAAAAGAATATCAAAATATTGAAAAGGGTATAAAAGTTGGTACATGCACAACTTTCCTTTCTTTGCACATAATATTTTACACTACACGATCATGTTATGGAAGCTTGTTTCTGTCACGGAATAAAAAAGGTAATTGCGACGTAGAGTCACACTTTATTTTAAGGTGTCTTTGTTACACTGTAATTATATATTTGAGTACTGAGTAATATTAAGCAACTATAGGGTAATGGTTAGGAGGAGGGTTAGTTGGATGTAATTACGTATAATTTATAGATATTACTGTAATAAGTGTAATAAGGACACTGTAACATAAAGTGTTACCAAACTCAAAGTCCAAATTGCACTTTTTAATCCGTGGCTTAACCGCTTCCACGCGATGCGCTTTAGTCAGTTTTCCCCTCTTTCCTGCTGTCCCAGTGCGCGCCGGACAAGCGGTCCGTGTTTTCTCTCTCTCTGCTCCTCTTCACCGTGGCGCGCGCGACGGCTTCATCGAAACACATGCTGACGCCGCTGTTCCTCTTGCCCTCTCTCTCCGCTTCCCTGTGCAGATCTTTCCTCCGGTCCACCACGCCGTCCCAGCTCCCCGGCCGCTCGTCCTCCTCGCTCTGCGGCTCCTCCGCTCCTCTCTCCTCGTGCGGTCCGTCCGCCGGCGCCGTGTGTCTGTGCTCGAACTGCTGTCGGAGCGCGAAGGCCGTGAGCTTCGAGTTCTGAGGTTTGGGTGGGACGGCGGGAACCGCTTTGACTTGATTCGCCGAGCGTTTGGGAGCCGTTGATGAGATGCTTTCGTTTTCTTCAGGCTGAATCTCATCCGCTTCGGGATCATCTGGACCTTCTCTTCCTTCAACGCTCTCCTCAATGTTCACCTCGGCAAAACCTTCTGTTTTTACGCTCACGTCCTCCTCAGGGTTTCGCTCATGGTTTTCCACTGAATCTTCCTTTCTCTCATCTTGTTCTCCTTTTACAGGTTCATCCGTTGCATTTTCTTCTTCACATTCTCCACTATTTTCCAGTAAATCTTCCTTTCTCTCATCTTGTTCTCCTTTTACGGTTTCATTCTTTGCATTTTCCTCTTCTTCCTCACATTTTCCAATATTTTCCATTAAATCTTCATTTCTTTCATCTCTTTCTTCTTTTACAGGTTCATCCGTTGCATTTTCCTCTTCTTCCTCACATTTTTCAATATTATCCACTAAATCTTCTTTTCTTTCGTCTTGTTCTCTTTCTTTTACAGATTCATTCTTTGCATTTTCCTCTTCTTCTTCCTCAAATTCTCCAATATTTTCCATTAAATCTTCCCGTCTTTCATCTTGTTCTCCTTTTACAAGTTCATCCTTTGAATTTTCCTCTTCTTCCTCACATTCGCCACTATTATCCACTAAATCTTTTCTTTCATCTTGTTCTCCTTTTACAGTTTCATTCTTTGCATTTTCCTCTTCTTCCTCACATTCTCCACAATTTTCCACTAAATCTTCCTTTCTACCATCTTGTTGTCTTTCCTTTACAGATTCAACCGTTGAATTTTCCTCTTCTTCCTCACGTTCTCCACTATTTTCCACTAAATCTTGTTGTCTTTCCTTTACAGATTCAACCGTTGAATTTTCCTCTTTCTCCTCGCCACTATTTCCCTCCAAATCTTCTCTACTTTCAGTCGCGCTCACTTCTTTCTCATCACTAGATTCTCCAACTGATCCAGTCTTTGCATGTTCTTCATCATCGTCACACTTTCCTTCCCCTGTATCGGCTCTGTTGATGCTGTTCTCACACTCTTTCAACCCTTCTGACTGCGTTTCCTCACTCTTCTCATCCTCAGTCTCTCGCTCGCTCATAATCGCCGTTTGTTTCTCCGATGGTTGATCTCGAGGAGCCAGTGAGATGCAGTCGACAACAGTGAGCTCATTGATCATCACCTCACTGTTACCACGGTAACCGCCAACATCCGCACCTGGAAGCTCATTGGCCGCAGTTTTTTCGGGCTCTGGTGAAGAAGGTATCGAGTCCGGTCCAAAATACGTGTCCTCGTCACTGGCTTCATCTTCCCTTCTGTACACAAACAAAAGGTGTAAAATATTACAGTAGCACTTTATTGTACAGTGTCCTTGTTACCAATGTTACATGTACTTACCAAAGTAATAACAGTAAATTATGCATAATTACATGCAACTAACCCTCAACCAAATCCTAATCCTGGCTACCCTAACCCTATAGTAAGTATGTGTTGTTAAATAATATAACTCAGAGTCAGTACTAAAATATATAATTACACTGTAACAACAACACCTCAAAATAAAGTGTAACCAATATTACACAAGCATTACACATTTGATGTTGTTCCAACTCAACATAAAAGTCTTTGCACCTTGAAACACAAATGGAGACTAGCGGAAGAGATGATAAATTCATATGCTTCAGGTACTTACATCAACGTGTGTTTCTCATTCCCAGCATCCTCTTCTTTCTTGTTTTCATCCGTCTTTAATACACTTGAACTGAGATGAACTGAGTTTTCACTATTGTCTGTCAATGTAGGAGCGGTAGGAATCACGTCTTCCGATTGGTCGGCATCTTTACTGTTCTCTGGAGGAAGTACGTTTTGCATCCCATCTAAGCGTTCTGATTGGTTACTGCAGTGGACCGCTTCATCGCTGCTAGCGGGAGCGTCAGCGGTGGTTTCTGGACCCGACCAAGAGAGACCCTGAAAACACCGACTGGATGGGAGACTGTGACAAAACATGTCCTCATATTCAGACCCTTTATCAGACTCTTCATCATCATCATCATCATCACCAGGGCTGTAGTCGTCGTCTGATGATAATGACAGAGCTGGTAGGAAGGGCCGGGACTTATAAGGCAAACTGTGTGATTTCCCAGGAATAAGCCTGTGTGTCAACGACGGGCTGCTGATTTTGGCTGCCGGTGTTTCAGAGTCATTAGTGCAGTTTTGCAATGAGCATGAAACGGCCCGATTATCCTGGTTTTGATCTTCCTCTTCCTCGTATTCCATTTCAAAACAAGGTGCTTCGACTGAAAACTCCACCTGGCAAACAGAGAGAAAGCGAGACAGACGTCAGATGCAGGAAGAGGAGCATCGAGAGACAATATAAACACAGTTTCAAACAGAAGCCAACAGTATTAAACTTCACATTTTAACTAATTATTCACTACAGGGGGACTTTAACTTATTTTAATGATACTATTTTAATAAATAATGTAAATTAAATGATAATAAATAATAAATCAATTATTTTATTATTAGTGCTGTCTAATCCTAATATAAAAATATGTAAATATATAATATGTGTGCTTTGAAATGTGAAAAAGACAGGACGCTTTTGAATTCCATGGTTTTACGTATCAGAGCATAATAAAAATTATCTGGTCCTTAGCAGGTCTTAAAATGAGGCAAATACAACCTCAGATGAACAACAACACATGACATATCACACGGTGTCATTATTTATTTAACAAAAATAAAGCCAAAATGAAGAAGCCATGAGTGACAAACTAAGTATTGCTGCTTCCTTAGGGATTAAGAAGGTAAGTAGCAGATAAATTAATCATCAGCAAGCGCGTTCACCTCTATAAAAGCCGAAGTTTTGCCAGTTTGCTGGTCTGGAGCCCTCAGATGTGTGTTAAAACAATGCCAAGAGGAAAGACATTAGAAATGATCTTAGAGAAGCGATTGTTGCTGTCATCAATCTAAGAAGGGTTATACGGGCATTTCCAAACAAACTAAAATCCATCATCAACATTCAAGACAGAGGCCAATCTTCCCAGGAGTGGATGTCCCAGCAAATTCGCAAAACACCCGAGAGCTACACCTCAGACTCTACAGGCCTCAGTTAACATGTTAAAAGTTCATAAAAATAAAGTTAGAAAAAGACAGGAGAAGTGTCATGTTTGGAAGGGCGCAGAAGTCGCCAACTTTCTGCAGTCAATAGCTACAGACCTCCAAACTTCGTGTGGCCTTCAGAGTAGCTCAAGAACAGTGCGTAGAGCTTCATGGAATGGGTTTCCATGGCTGACTGGTGTAAAGCGTGGGGTGCAGTGGAGTAAAGCGTGGGGTGCAGTGGTATAAAGCATGGGGTGCAGTGGAGTAAAGCGTGGGATGCAGTGGGGTAAAGCGTGGGGTGCAGTGGAGTAAAGCGGGGGATGCTGTGGTGTAAAACGTGGGGTGCAGTGGTGTAAAGCGTGGGGTGCAGTGGAGTAAAGCGTGGGGTGCAGTGGTATAAAGCGTGGGGTGCAGTGGTGTAAAGCGTGGGGTGCAGTGGTGTAAAGCGTGGGGTGCAGTGGTGTAAAGCGTGGGGTGCAGTGGAGTAAAGCGTGGGGTGCAGTGGTATAAAGCGTGGGGTGCAGTGGTGTAAAGCGTGGGGTGCAGTGGTGTAAAGCGTGGGGTGCAGTGGAGTAAAGCGTGGGGTGCAGTGGTATAAAGCATGGGGTGCAGTGGAGTAAAGCGTGGGGTGCAGTGGAGTAAAGCGTGGGGTGCAGTGGTATAAAGCATGGGGTGCAGTGGAGTAAAGCGTGGGGTGCAGTGGTGTAAAGCGTGGGGTGCAGTGGAGTAAAGCGTGGGGTGCAGTGGTATAAAGCATGGGGTGCAGTGGTGTAAAGCGTGGGATGCAGTGGAGTAAAGCGGGGGATGCTGTGGTGTAAAGCGTGGGGTGCAGTGGTGTAAAGCGTGGGGTGCAGTGGAGTAAAGCGTGGGGTGCAGTGGTATAAAGCGTGGGGTGCAGTGGTGTAAAGCGTGGGGTGCAGTGGTGTAAAGCGTGGGGTGCAGTGGTGTAAAGCGTGGGGTGCAGTGGAGTAAAGCGTGGGGTGCAGTGGTATAAAGCGTGGGGTGCAGTGGTGTAAAGCGTGGGGTGCAGTGGTGTAAAGCGTGGGGTGCAGTGGAGTAAAGCGTGGGGTGCAGTGGTATAAAGCATGGGGTGCAGTGGAGTAAAGCGTGGGATGCAGTGGGGTAAAGCGTGGGGTGCAGTGGAGTAAAGCGTGGGGTGCAGTGGTATAAAGCATGGGGTGCAGTGGAGTAAAGCGTGGGGTGCAGTGGTGTAAAGCGTGGGGTGCAGTGGAGTAAAGCGTGGGGTGCAGTGGTATAAAGCATGGGGTGCAGTGGAGTAAAGCGTGGGGTGCAGTGGTGTAAAGCGTGGGGTGCAGTGGTGTAAAGCGTGGGGTGCAGTGGTATGAAGCGTGGGGTGCAGTGGAGTAAAGCGTGGGATGCAGTGGTGTAAAGCGTGGGGTGCAGTGGAGTAAAGCGTGGGGTGCAGTGGTGTAAAGCGTGGGGTGCAGTGGAGTAAAGCGTGGGGTGCAGTGGTGTAAAGCGTGGGGTGCAGTGGAGTAAAGCGTGGGGTGCAGTGGTGTAAAGCGTGGGATGCAGTGGAGTAAAGCGTGGGGTGCAGTGGTATAAAGCGTGGGGTGCAGTGGAGTAAAGCGTGGGATGCAGTGGTGTAAAGCGTGGGGTGCAGTGGTGTAAAGCGTGGGGTGCAGTGGTGTAAAGCGTGGGATGCAGTAGTGTAAAGCGTGGGGTGCAGTGGAGTAAAGCGTGGGGTGCAGTGGTGTAAAGCGTGGGGTGCAGTGGTGTAAAGCGTGGGATGCAGTAGTGTAAAGCGTGGGGTGCAGTGGAGTAAAGCGTGGGGTGCAGTGGTGTAAAGCGTGGGATGCAGTGGAGTAAAGCGTGGGATGCAGTGGAGTAAAGCGTGGGGTGCAGTGGAGTAAAGCGTGGGATGCAGTGGAGTAAAGCGTGGGATGCAGTGGTGTAAAGCGTGGGATGCAGTGGTGTAAAGCGTGGGATGCAGTGGAGTAAAGCGTGGGATGCAGTGGTGTAAAGGGTGGGATGCAGTGGTGTAAAGCGTGGGATGCAGTGGTGTAAAGCGTGGGATGCAGTGGTGTAAAGCGTGGGATGCAGTGGTGTAAAGCGTGGGATGCAGTGGTGTAAAGCGTGGGATGCAGTGGTGTAAAGCGTGGGATGCAGTGGTGTAAAGCGTGGGATGCAGTGGTATAAAGCATGGGGTGCAGTGGAGTAAAGCGTGGGATGCAGTGGTGTAAAGCGTGGGGTGCAGTGGTGTAAAGTGTGGGGTGCAGTGGTGTAAAGCGTGGGATGCAGTGGTGTAAAGCGTGGGGTGCAGTGGAGTAAAGCGTGGGGTGCAGTGGTGTAAAGCGTGGGATGCAGTGGTGTAAAGCGTGGGACTCAGTGGTGTAAAGCGTGGGATGCAGTGGTGTAAAGCGTGGAGTGCAGTGGAGTAAAGCGTGGGATGCAGTGGTGTAAAGCGTGGGATGCAGTGGAGTAAAGCGTGGGATGCAGTGGAGTAAAGCGTGGGGTGCAGTGGTGTAAAGCGTGGGGTGCAGTGGAGTAAAGCGTGGGATGCAGTGGAGTAAAGCGTGGGGTGCAGTGGTGTAAAGCGTGGGGTGCAGTGGAGTAAAGCGTGGGATGCAGTGGTGTAAAGCGTGGGATGCAGTGGTGTAAAGCGTGGGATGCAGTGGTGTAAAGCGTGGGATGCAGTGGTGTAAAGCGTGGGGTGCAGTGGTGTAAAGCGTGGGATGCAGTGGTGTAAAGCGTGGGATGCAGTGGTGTAAAGCGTGGGATACAGTGGTGTAAAGCGTGGGGTGCAGTGGTGTAAAGCGTGGGATGCAGTGGTGTAAAGCGTGGGATGCAGTGGTGTAAAGCGTGGGATGCAGTGGTGTAAAGCGTGGGATGCAGTGGTGTAAAGCGTGGGATGCAGTGGTGTAAAGCGTGGGATGCAGTGGTGTAAAGCGTGGGGTGCAGTGGTGTAAAGCGTGGGGTGCAGTGGAGTAAAGCGTGGGATGCAGTGGTGTAAAGCGTGGGATGCAGTGGAGTAAAGCGTGGGATGCAGTGGTGTAAAGCGTGGGATGCAGTGGTGTAAAGCGTGGGATGCAGTGGTGTAAAGCGTGGGATGCAGTGGTGTAAAGCGTGCGAGTAAAGCGTGGGATGCAGTGGTGTAAAGCGTGGGATGCAGTGGTGTAAAGCGTGGGATGCAGTGGTGTAAAGCGTGGGATGCAGTGGTGTAAAGCGTGGGATGCAGTGGTGTAAAGCGTGGGATGCAGTGGAGTAAAGCGTGGGATGCAGTGGTGTAAAGCGTGGGATGCAGTGGTGTAAAGCGTGGGATGCAGTGGTGTAAAGCGTGGGATGCAGTGGTGTAAAGCGTGGGATTCAGTGGTGTAAAACGTGGGGTAAAGCGAATCACGCTTCTCTGCCTGGCAATCCGATGGATGAGTCTGGGTTTGGCGTAGTGTTGCACGGTGCACCGATACTTCAAAAGTATCGCGATACTCGGAAATTAAAAACTTCACGATACCTAAATTTATTAGTATCGATACTTCTAAGAATGACCGCGTTCCAGATTTGTAAGAGAGTATTGCATGTTGGTGTGTGCAACGCACGCTTCCAGTGCCTCCCTATGGACGTCTGTGTTTTTCTCCTCATGAGCGTGTGACAGGGCGCGTGAACTGAACGAGCGCAGAGAGAGAGAGAGAGAGAGAGAGCGCGAGAGAGCCCCGGTCGCGCGCGCGCACTCTCTCTCTGCGTAGCCAAGCGAAAGTATAAACAAGGCTTCACCGTCTCTAAACTAAGCGCTGTCTTGCTCTCTCTCTCTCTCTCTCTCTCTCCCTCGCACATATTAATCAAATTAATTTAAAAAATGTTTTCCTGAATTACCGCTAGGAGTAAATTGTGGTAAAATACGTTGCCTTATCTTCTCTGAAAAGCGTTCCGCACATTCAGCTGACATAAACCACACTTTAAATAAACGAAAAAAACTATCCAGTCATGAAATGTTTTCTGTGATGACACAAATCTTGTGGGATGTCCTAACCCCCGGGATAATCACACAACGCGCACACGTCCGATAATGACACGTCCAATTCGTGAACTAATGACTCATTTGAACCGATTCGTTTTAATGAATGGTTAAAACAACTGATCTGTCTGAATCGGTGTATAACTAATCGCTAACACTTTGTAATAAGGTTTCATAAATTACATAAAAAGTAGGCTACAGTTTGCTTACTCAAGTGTAAGTTTTTAAAACAAATAACCCCCCCCCCCCCGACTACTTTTTTCCACACAGTGCTATCAGGAATCGATAAGAGAATCGTTAAAGAATCGGATCGATAAGCAGAATCGTCAGTGGCATTGATATTGATAAAATCTTATGTTTCTTATGATAACTGAGATAATGCTGCTATATTTATTTATTTTTTTACCTTGAATGTCATTGCTCTAATTTATTTTTTATATTTTTCATATTTCATATTTTGTTCAAATGGTTAATATAGCCTATATTCTGTTCATATGTTCATTTATTAGTGTGTTATATGATTAGAATGTTGTCCCAGTTTTAAAATAAAGCACAGCAATGATATTTGAGTGTTTCTCCCTTTTCAGGAAAAGTATCGAAATCGCAATTCTTGACTTGGTATTGGTATCGAAACAATAATTTGGGTATCGTGACAACACTAGTTTGGCGTTTGCCAGGAGAACGGTACTTGCCTGACTGGTTTGTGCCACGTGTAAAGTTTGGTGGAGGGGGGATTATGGTGTGGTTGGGCTCGGCCCTCTAGTTCCAGTGAAAGGAACTCTTAATGCTTCAGCATACCAAGACATTTTGGACAATTTCATGCTCCCAACTTTGTGGGAAGAGTTTGGGGATGTTCCTGTTCCAGCATGACTGTGCACCAGTGCACAAAGCAGGTCCATAAAGACATGGATGAGGAGTTTGGTGTGGAGGAACTGGACTGGCTGGAGTCCTGAGCTCGACCCGATAGAACAGCTTTGGGATGAATTACAGCAGAGACTGAGAGCCAGACCTTCTCGTCCAACATCAGTGCCTGACCTCACTAATGCGCTTCTAGAAGAATGGTAAGAAATTCCCATAAACACACTCCTAAACCTTGTGGAAAGCCTTCCCAGAAGAGTTGAGGCTGTTATAGCTGCAAAGGGTGGGCCAACTCCATATTAAACCCTACAGATTAAGAATGGGATGTCATTCAAATTCATGTGCATGTAGAGGTAGATGTCCCAAAACTTTTCGCAATATTGCTAATATTTATGAAAGAAATTCGAATTTAGCTTTTCAGCCATTTTGACAGCACTACTCAAGAGTGAAATGTGAGGCTGACTGTCCGACAGCTAAAGCTTGGCTGAAAGTGGGTCATGCAACAGGACAACGATCCCAAGAACACTAATAAAATCTACAATAGAACGGCTGAAGAAGAAAAGAATCAAGGTGTTGCACCGGCCCAGTCAATCTGAGGTTGTATTTACCTAGTTTTAAGACCTGCAAAAGACCAGATGATTTTTATTATGTTCTGATGCGTAAAACCACAGAATTCAATGGAGAGTCGTTGTGCTGCTCATGTAGACAGCAGACCCTCACTAGAGAGTAGACAAGCAGCAATGCACACCTGGTTTGAGATGTACACACACCTGGTTTGAAGCACAGTTGTCCATCGAGTCCAAGAACCCAAACGCCTCCTGTAGATCCATTGGAAGGTCCTGGTCTGGAAACTCCATGTCCTCGTAGAAGCGCGGACTGACCGGCGCTGGGAGGTTTCTTCTCATCTCTGTGGGAAAAGGGGGACTTTAAGATTTAAAAAAACAATGTTTTGCATTTTCATAATTTACTATAAAAACACTGCAAAACTAAATTGTGCAAACAATTCAGTGAACGATAATCAGAATATTACCCATGTAATCCTCATCTGGGGCTTCCTCTTTGACTTCTGACATTGGATCTTCTTCCTTCTCCTTCACCGACTCTTGATTCAGAATCTGATCTTCTTTGTCACTCGGTGCGTCTCCTTCTTCTGGGACAGTTTCTTCTTTAATATCCGCCATATTCTTCCCACAATCCACCTGACCTTCTTCTTGGCAACCACTGATTTCTCTTTTACTCTCGTCGTGAACATCATCGTGTTTTCTCGCATCGGTGCTCTTTACGTCCTCGTCTTCCTCCACGGTTTGCTCTCTCTCGCTCCAGCCGCCGTGTAACACACCTAGAGCCAGTCCGGATGTGATGTGAAGAGGGACGGTCACGGAAAAAGGCCCGGAGATGTGGATTCCGGCGCGCCGGTCCGCTTTGCTGGTCATGGCTGGCGATCGGGACACGCCCTGCGACGCCCCCTCGGCCCCGTTGGCTCCGCCCCCAGAGTCCAGACGATTGTACGTTCCCGGAGTCCCTCCGCTCACCATACTGACCTGAGCTCAAAACATGGAGATTGCCATATAAGTTTTGTGTTTCAAGGAGTAGTTCCCTCTAAAATGAAAATTAGCTCATGATTTACTCATCCTCAAGCCATCCTAGGTGTGTATGACATTCTACTTTTAGACGAATAGAATCAGTTATATTCAAAAATGTCCTGGCTCTTCCAAGCTTTATAATCGCAGTGGATTGCAACCAACAGAAAAAAGTGCATCTGTCCATCATAAAAGTGCATCTATCCATCATAAAAGTGCATCTGTCCATCATAAAAGTGCATCTATCCATCATAAAAGTGCATCTATCCATCATAAAAGTGCATCTGTCCATCATAAAAGTGCATCTGTCCATCATAAAAGTGCATCTATCCATGATAAAAGTGCATCTATCCATCATAAAAGTGCATCTGTCCATCATAAAAGTGCATCTGTCCATGATAAAAGTGCATCTGTCCATCATAAAAGTGCATCTGTCCATCATAAAAGTGCATCTGTCCATCATAAAAGTGCATCTGTCCATGATAAAAGTGCATCTATCCATCATAAAAGTGCATCTGTCCATCATAAAAGTGCATATATCCATCATAAAAGTGCATCTATCCATCATAAAAGTGCATCTATCCATCAAAAAAGTGCATCTATCCATCATAAAAGTGCATCTATCCATCAAAAAAGTGCATCTGTCCATCATAAAAGTGCATCTATCCATCATAAAAGTGCATCTGTCCATCATAAAAGTGCATCTGTCCATCATAAAAGTGCATCTATCCATCATAAAAGTGCATCTATCCATCAAAAAAGTGCATCTATCCATGATAAAAGTGCATCTGTCCATCATAAAAGTGCATCTATCCATCATAAAAGTGCATCTATCCATCATAAAAGTGCATCTGTCCATCATAAAAGTGCATCTATCCATGATAAAAGTGCATCTATCCATCATAAAAGTGCATCTATCCATCATAAAAGTGCATCTATCCATCATAAAAGTGCATCTATCCATCATAAAAGTGCATCTATCCATGATAAAACTGCATCTATCCATCATAAAAGTGCATCTATCCATCAAAAAAGTGCATCTATCCATGATAAAAGTGCATCTGTCCATCATAAAAGTGCATCTATCCATCATAAAAGTGCATCTATCCATCATAAAAGTGCATCTGTCCATCATAAAAGTGCATCTATCCATCATAAAAGTGCATCTATCCATCATAAAAGTGCATCTGTCCATCATAAAAGTGCATCTATCCATGATAAAAGTGCATCTATCCATCATAAAAGTGCATCTGTCCATCATAAAAGTGCATCTATCCATGATAAAAGTGCATCTATCCATCATAAAAGTGCATCTGTCCATCATAAAAGTGCATCTGTCCATCATACAAGTGCATCTATCCATCATAAAAGTGCATCTATCCATCATAAAAGTGCATCTAGTCATGATAAAAGTGGATTTATGATGGATAGATGCAGTTTTATGGACTTCAAAACAGCCATTCACTGCCATTATAAAGCTTGGAAGAGCCAGGACATTTATTAACATAACTCTGATTGTATTCGTCTGAAAGAAGAATGTCATACACACCTAGGATGGCTTGAGGATGGGTAAATCATAGGGTCATTTTAATTTTAAAGTGAACTACTCCTTTAATAACAAAATGAAGGAAGTGTCTTGAAAAATAGTTCACAGAATTCATCCTGCTAAGCATGTTTTGGAAAGATTTAAGCTTAATATTTAATTTACCTGTGAATTTTGTGCACTAGAAAAATTATTATTATTATCCTATTTTGGAAAGATTTAGAAACCTTTATTAGTAGAAAACTGAAGTGTACGATAGAAATCTGTGTATTTGATGTGCTTTTTTTATAATCATAATGACAATTTGGAATGTAAAGAACAACATATTATACAATTATTTATTTTGTTAGGAAAATACCATATATACATAAAAAGAAGTGAGCTCAGTGCAAACCAATTTTTTTTTTACATTTTATAAATAACTAAATTATATGTGAATCTTTTGGAACAAACAAAAAAGCGCTAAAAACATGTAATGCTTTGAAAGCACTGGATTTTATGGAATGTTTTTTTATTTTTTTCATTTCCTGGCAGCTGATGTTAAAGATGAACTGAACTGAAATTTGAAAAACGGTGATATAACAGATCTATTGTATTTATTATCATTGGTACAATTATTAAAATGGCAGAATTTGTTAAAAGGGATAAAACTGTAAGTTGAAAATGTTTTTGTTACACGGGCGCCATGTTGGATTTCAACATTCGGCTACGTCACTGGCATGCTAGGCTACTCCGTTGCCAACCAACACCAGCCGAGCAGCCATAGCATGTAAATAGTCTGAGGCTAGCTGACATGGCTGGGGAAACAGAAACCAACAGGTCTAGGGGGGGTTCATACTGTATTGCCCCTGGCTGTAGTAATGAATTGTATAGGGCTAAGGCAGCTGGGGTTACGATACATTTTCACAGGCTACCTTTGACAAGGAAACCAGCCCTCAAGTCAAGGCTAGCTGCCTTTAACTGTCTAGCCCTCCGACAGCCCCTGGATTTCGAGTCTGTAGTGAGCATTTTTAGTGACAGACTATTTAGTAGGCCTCTCGCGATAGTCAATAAATAAATCGCACGACAAAAAAAAAATTAGCTCGATAATTTTTCCGGCCGCGATAATTTCCATTTGCATGCTTGTTTGTTTTCCTCGTCTCTCTCTCTCTCTCTCTACCAAAGAGACTGGATGACAACTCTCGGTTCCTTAGCGTAGGAAGAGTGAACTAGAGCTTATTCTGCCCGAGCGGTATTTCCCGACACTATCCTTGAGACGTGCACTCCCAACGCAATAGAGTGCGGCCGCACGGGACTACATCTGATGGCCGAGACTCCGAGTGCGAGCGCGGGCGCGGGCGGTTATGCACTCACTCTGTGTGTGCGGGTTATAAATAAAACGATTCGCGGGGCTCCCGCAAACTAGAAATATCTATGAATAAAACATAAAAACGAATAGATTTTTATTCATCTGTTGCAGAAAAGCAACAAGAACAACTAAAACAAAATAGAAACGATTTACAGGCCAGAGTTTCTATTCATAACAACGCTATAACATCGCGTTGAGTGATGTAGCCAATCACAGTTATATGTGTTGCTTCTGATGGGCCATTGCGTTCAAGAAATCATTTAAGATAGACTCCCTTTTTGGTATTTATTTAAGTGCATTTTTTGTAACAGAGACTGTTCTCTGCAACAGATTGACTCCGGTGCAGTGTCCATGCTCCGGCAGCTCACACACCCACACCAGTCACTCCGCCCCAAACGATCCTGTGCTGTATGTGGAGCCTGAAACTGATCCTCCATTGGTAGTCAGAAACTACTGGACTGTCCCTCACAGCTTCAAATGCGTAACCCATGCCGTTAAAAGTGCTCATTTTCGTCTGTGTATCAGGACCTGCAGCTGTTGCCTATGCACCTTTGCGTGTCCTACCATGCCAGTGACGTCATCGAAACGGCCAGCGTAACAAGCGCAATTTTTGTGTTGCTTAAAAAAAGCTATATTGATATTTTTAATTAAAATTTTTAGTGTAATTTACTTTTAATTGTCATAAACAACACGTTTTCAACGTCGATTTTTTTCAGTTCAGTTCATCTTTAATGTGAATATGTGAATATGTAATACCTCTTGTTCTCATGGCATTGAATTAATATACTGACCTGAGCTCCGCCCGTCCGCCTGTACGTCACCGCGTATCCGCTAGACACGCCCCCTCCGCCCGAAGCCACGCCCCCGCCGACAGAAGCCACGCCCTCCGAGCTGCCCGAGGCCGAGGGCAAAAGCAGAGGAGGAAGATGAGCTGGAGGATGCTTCGAATCTGAGAGACATGAAAACAAACATGCATAAGGATGCTTCATTACTACACTCACTACCAGTCAAAAGAATTGGAACGGTACGATTTTTAATGTTTTTAAAAGAGTCTCTTCTGCTTATCAAGGCTGCATTTATTTGATTAAAAATAGAAAAAAAAAATTAATATTGTGCAATATTATTACAATTTAAACAGCTGTTTTCTATGTTATTAGTATAGTATATTATTAAATAGTACAGTGTAATTTATTCCGGTGATCAAAGCTGAATTTATTTACTCAAAAATACAGTAAAAATTGTGAAATATTATTCCAATGTAAATCAGCTGTTTTCTATGTGAATATATAGTAGTGTAAGACATTTATAATGTTACAAAAGATTCTATTTCAGATAAACGCTGTAGTTTTGAACTTTCTATTCATTAAAGAATCCTGATAGAAATTGTACACAACTGATTTCAACTCTGATAATAATCATAAATGTTTCTTGAGCATCAGATCCTCATATTAGAGTGATTTCTGAAGGATCATGTGACACTGAAGACTGGAGTAATGATGCTGAAAATCACAGGAATAAATTACACTTTACTGTATATTCACATAGAAAACAGCTGATTTACATTACAAAAATATTTCACATTTTTTCTGGGCTTTTTTGTATTTTTAATCAGATAAATGCAGCCTTGATGAGCAGAAGAGACTCTTTTAAAAACATTAAAAATCTTCCCGATCCCACACGTTTGACTGGTAGTGTGTGTGAGTTCTTGTTAACTGAAACGGTTCTTCATTGTGTGATAAAGCTCCTCGTACCTTCGGCTGGGAACGGGCCGCAGCTCAGCGAGTCCATGCTCTTCGCAGGCCTCAGCGTCGTCTTCTCTTTGTCTGAGCGATGAGATCAAGTGGAGACGAGGAGAAACGAGAGCATTAAAAAGGTGAATAGTTAAATAAAAATAAACCAATAAAACAAAATGGTACAAAAAAAGGGTGACTTTAACCATTGGAAGGACACTATGACAAAGATATCGGTTTCCTGATTCAAACAGTTTTTTTCCCCCATCATGAATACATGATTGACCTGAAGAATTTATTTATTTATATGAAAATAAATTTATATAATATCATGCTCACAAATGGCTCTATTTCAGACGGGCTGCCGCAGTAATTTTTTTAATCGATGAAATTAAACACTAATTTCACATATTATTGTCTTTCAATAATTCAAGCACTTTTCAAGTAGCTCTTCATAGATATGGCTGTTTTCAGGGGTTTCCCAGGACTAGAATTTCAAATATTCTAAATTCAGAAGTTTAAGCACCTTGTAGGAACCCTGAGCAAAAAGCCCCGCAGTCGCATCTGCAGTTCGGGAGGTTTGCGCTCGTACCTTTAGGACAGTATTTGCTCTTCTTGCGGGGATCGTGGAGTCTCCCGCCCAGATTAAAGATGGATTTCCACTTCCTTCCTTTGAGGGAGCCCTTCCTCCTGAACACACACACACACACACGTGTGCACACACACACACACAGACGCACGCACACACACACGTGTTGTTAATGTTTACATCAAAGTATATAGCTATATATTATCCTCAAAATCATGATTATTGAACTTTTAGGCATCTTTGGCATAGTTTTCTCAACTCTTGATGCGAGTGATGTTACACACTGGGTAAAAAATAAAAATAAAAAGAACATGAAATGAAACGTGATTGTGTTAATATCACATACTTTATTAGCCTGGTTAAAACCAGAGCATTCTCAGTTGTAACTGAGTTATGGTCTGGCAAAGCGTCATAGACAAATCATTTCCAGAGGGGCATCACCAACGGAGTCGCGGATAGAGCTAAACCCAATCAGAGCGATGAAGGAGATGACGTATGCAGAGCGGCGGAGAAACATCTCCGAGTGTTGTTCTTTGCTCGGTTTTTAACTAAAAGGAAACGTTCAAATGGCTTAAAACAGACGCGATAGCTGATTGGAACGAGTGATGTTCGACGGCGGCATCAATCTTTGTAATGTAGGCTACAAAATCTGCTTCAAAACCCCAGCGCTGTCGTCATCGTGTAAAGCCCGCCCCAACGCTTCTGATTGGTGCCGCGATTTCGACGGATTGGAAATGGCCTTGAATGAGCTCTTTGCCAGACTAACTTTCAGAGCAAATCTAAATTTGCCGGAAGTTGTCTGGGTTTTCCCAGGCTAATACTTTATAGTAGTGATGCTATACTTGGGTTAATAAAATAAAATAAATAATTAAAAAATAATAAAAATAACATGAAAAAATTAATTAAAATATTAAATAACATAAAATAACATGAAATTAAATTTAATAGAAAATAAAATAGATTGGGGATGCATAAAATATAATACAAAGAGCATGAAATAAAATAAAAAATAACATGAAATAGAAAATAAAATTGATTGGGAATGCTTAACATAAAATACAAAGAGCATGAAATAAAATAAAATAAAATAGTAAATTAACTTGATTGGGGATGCACTAATGTTAATCTCACATACTTTATAAGTGCTGCTACACTTGGGTTAATAAAATAAAATAATTAATTTTAAAATGTTTAAAAATAAAAATAACATGAAAAAATAAATAAATAAATAACATAAAAATTAAATTAAATGGAAAACAAACTTGATTGGGGATGCAAAAAATAAAACAAATATAGCATGAAATAAAATAAAAAATAACATGTAATAGAAAATAATCTTGATTGGGGATGCATAAAATAAAATAAATATAAAATTAATTAATTCATTAATTAAAAAATAATAAAAATAACATGAAAAATTGTATTAAAATATTAAATAAAATAAAATAATATGAAATTAAATTAAATAGAAAATAAAATAGATTGGGGATGCATAAAATAAAATAAATATAGCATGAAATAAAATAAAATAAAAAATATGATGAAATAGAAAACAATCTTGATTGGGGATGCATAAAATAAAATAAATATAAAATGAATTAATTAATTTAAAGAAAGAAAGAAAAAAAGGCAGTGCCGTTCTCCTTTTGGAGCACTAGATGGCCACCGCAACACCGTGTTAAACCACTTTAAATGGTTGGAAAGCATGGATACTCCGCTTCACCATCACTGCTCTATAATAACGATATGGAGATGCTCCTACTTGTCAGTGCCGTCGATGATGGCGTGGTAGGAGCGCATGGCTGGAGGCCCGTCTCCGGGACTGAGGTTCCCCGGGCAGTGCAGAGGGAGAGACTTGAAGAAGTGGTCGTCCCCGGACAGAACCGAGGGAGACGGGAGAGACTTCCGGCGCTCCACCGTCAATCCTGCGGTACATCAGGAAACATCACTCACACACTTCCTCCACAGCAAACATCACTCACACACTTCCTCCTCAGCAAACATCACTCACACACTTCCTCCTCAGCAAACATCACTCACACACTTCCTCCTCAGCAAACATCACTCACACACTTCCTCCACAGCAAACATCACTCACACACTTCCTCCTCAGCAAACATCACTCACACACTTCCTCCACAGCAAACATCACTCACACACTTCCTCCTCAGCAAACATCACTCGCACACTTCCTCCTCAGCAAACATCACTCGCACACTTCCTCCTCAGCAAACATCACTCGCACACTTCCTCCTCAGCAAACATCACTCACACACTTCCTCCACAGCAAACATCACTCACACACTTCCTCCTCAGCAAACATCACTCACACACTTCCTCCACAGCAAACATCACTCACACACTTCCTCCTCAGCAAACATCACTCACACACTTCCTCCACAGCAAACATCACTCACACACTTCCTCCTCAGCAAACATCACTCGCACACTTCCTCCTCAGCAAACATCACTCGCACACTTCCTCCTCAGCAAACATCACTCGCACACTTCCTCCTCAGCAAACATCACTCACACACTTCCTCCTCAGCAAACATCACTCACACACTTCCTCCTCAGCAAACATCACTCACACACTTCCTCCTCAGCAAACATCACTCGCGCACTTCCTCCTCAGCAAACATCACTCACGCACTTCCTCCTCAGCAAACATCACTCACACACTTCCTCCTCAGCAAACATCACTCACACACTTCCTCCTCAGCAAACATCACTCGCGCACTTCCTCCTCAGCAAACATCACTCACGCACTTCCTCCTCAGCAAACATCACTCACACACTTCCTCCTCAGCAAACATCACTCACACACTTCCTCCTCAGCAAACATCACTCACACACTTCCTCCACAGCAAACATCACTCACACACTTCCTCCTCAGCAAACATCACTCACACACTTCCTCCTCAGCAAACATCACTCACACACTTCCTCCTCAGCAAACATCACTCACACACTTCCTCCACAGCAAACATCACTCACACACTTCCTCCTCAGCAAACATCACTCACACACTTCCTCCTCAGCAAACATCACTCACACACTTCCTCCTCAGCAAACATCACTCGCGCACTTCCTCCTCAGCAAACATCACTCACGCACTTCCTCCTCAGCAAACATCACTCACACACTTTCTCCTCAGCAAACATCACTCACACACTTCCTCCACACCAAACATCACTCACACACTTCCTCCTCAGCAAACATCACTCACACACTTCCTCCACAGCAAACATCACTCACACACTTCCTCCTCAGCAAACATCACTCGCACACTTCCTCCTCAGCAAACATCACTCGCACACTTCCTCCTCAGCAAACATCACTCGCACACTTCCTCCTCAGCAAACATCAGTCACACACTTCCTCCTCAGCAAACATCAGTCACACACTTCCTCCTCAGCAAACATCACTCACACACTTCCTCCTCAGCAAACATCAATCGCGCACTTCCTCCTCAGCAAACATCACTCACGCACTTCCTCCTCAGCAAACATCACTCACACACTTCCTCCTCAGCAAACATCACTCACACACTTCCTCCTCAGCAAACATCACTCACACTCTTCCTCCTCAGCAAACATCACTCACACTCTTCCTCCTCAGCAAACATCACTCACACACTTCCTCCTCAGCAAACATCACTCACACACTTCCTCCTCAGCAAACATCACTCACACACTTCCTCCTCAGCAAACATCACTCACACACTTCCTCCTCAGCAAACATCACTCACACACTTCCTCCTCAGCAAACATCACTCACACACTTCCTCATCAGCAAACATCACTTACACACTTCCTCCTCAGCAAACATCACTCACACACTTCCTCCTCAGCAAACATCACTCACGCACTTCCTCCTCAGCAAACATCACTCACGCACTTCCTCCTCAGGAAACATCACTCACACGCTTCCTCCTCAGCAAACATCACTCACACACTTCCTCCTCAGCAAACATCACTCACACACTTCCTCCTCAGCAAACATCACTCACACACTTCCTCATCAGCAAACATCACTTACACACTTCCTCCTCAGCAAACATCACTCACACACTTCCTCCTCAGCAAACATCACTCACGCACTTCCTCCTCAGCAAACATCACTCACGCACTTCCTCCTCAGGAAACATCACTCACACGCTTCCTCCTCAGCAAACATCACTCAATCACTCGCACACTTCCTCCTCAGCAAACATCACTCGCACACTTCCTCCTCAGCAAACATCACTCACACACTCACACGCTTCCTCCTCAGCAAACATCACTCACACGCTTCCTCCTCGGCAAACATCACTCACACGCTTCCTCCTCGGCAAACATCACTCACACGCTTCCTCCTCAGCAAACATCACTCACACGCTTCCTCCTCAGCAAACATCACTCACACGCTTCCTCCTCAGCAAACATCACTCACACGCTTCCTCATCAGCAAACATCACTCACACGCTTCCTCCTCAGCAAACATCACTCACACACTTCCTCCTCAGCAAACATCACTCACACACTTCCTCCTCAGCAAACATCACTCGCACACTTCCTCCTCAGCAAACATCACTCGCACACTTCCTCCTCAGCAAACATCACTCACACACTTCCTCCTCAGCAAACATCACTCACACGCTTCCTCCTCAGCAAACATCACTCGCACACTTCCTCCTCAGCAAACATCACTCACACACTTCCTCCTCAGCAAACATCACTCACACACTTCCTCCTCAGCAAACATCACTCACACACTTCCTCCTCAGCAAACATCACTCGCACACTTCCTCCTCAGCAAACATCACTCGCACACTTCCTCCTCAGCAAACATCAATCACACACTTCCTCCTCAGCAAACATCACTCACACGCTTCCTCCTCAGCAAACATCACTCACACGCTTCCTCCTCAGCACCCATCACTCACACACTTCCTCCTCAGGAAACATCACTCACACACTTCCTCCTCAGCAAACATCACTCACACACTTCCTCCTCAGCAAACATCACTCACACACTTCCTCCTCAGCAAACATCACTCACGCACTTCCTCCTCAGCAAACATCACTCACACACTTCCTCCTCAGCAAACATCACTCACACGCTTCCTCCTCAGCACCCATCACTCACACGCTTCCTCCTCAGCAAACATCACTCACACGCTTCCTCCTCAGCAAACATCACTCACACACTTTCTCCTCAGGAAACATCACTCACACACTTCCTCCTCAGCAAACATCACTCACACACTTCCTCATCAGCAAACATCACTCACACGCTTTCTCCTCAGCAAACATCACTCACACACTTCCTCCTCAGCAAACATCACTCACACACTTCCTCATCAGCAAACATCACTCACACACTTCCTCCTCAGCAAACATCACTCACACGCTTCCTCCTCAGCACCCATCACTCACACACTTCCTCCTCAGCAAACATCAATCACACACTTCCTCCTCAGCAAACATCACTCACACGCTTCCTCCTCAGCACCCATCACTCACACGCTTCCTTCTCAGCACCCATCACTCACACACTTCCTCCTTAGCAAACATCACTCACACGCTTCCTCCTCAGCAAACATCACTCACACGCTTTCTCCTCAGGAAACATCACTCACACACTTCCTCCTCAGCAAACATCACTCACACACTTCCTCATCAGCAAACATCACTCACACGCTTCCTCCTCAGCAAACATCACTCACACGCTTTCTCCTCAGCAAACATCACTCACACACTTCCTCCTCAGCAAACATCACTCACACACTTCCTCATCAGCAAACATCACTCACACGCTTCCTCCTCAGCAAACATCACTCACACGCTTCCTCCTCAGCACCCATCACTCACACACTTCCTCCTCAGCAAACATCACTCACACGCTTCCTCCTCAGCAAACATCACTCACACGCTTTCTCCTCAGCAAACATCACTCACACACTTCCTCCTCAGCAAACATCACCCACACACTTCCTCCTCAGCAAACATCACTCACACGCTTCCTCCTCAGCAAACATCACTCACACGCTTTCTCCTCAGCAAACATCACTCACACACTTCCTCCTCAGCAAACATCACTCACACACTTCCTCATCAGCAAACATCACTCACACACTTCCTCATCAGCAAACATCACTCACACACTTCCTCCTCAGCAAACATCACTCACACGCTTCCTCCTCAGCAAACATCACTCACACACTTCCTCCACAGCAAACATCACTCACACACTTCCTCCTCAGCAAACATCACTCACACACTTCCTCCTCAGCAAACATCACTCACACACTTCCTCCTCAGCAAACATCACTCACACACTTCCTCCTCAGCAAACATCACTCACACGCTTCCTCCTCAGCAAACATCACTCACACACTTCCTCCTCAGCAAACATCACTCACACACTTCCTCATCAGCAAACATCACTCACACGCTTCCTCCTCAGCAAACATCGCTCACACACTTCCTCCTCAGGAAACATCACCCACACACTTCCTCCTCAGCAAACATCACTCACACGCTTCCTCCTCAGCAAACATCACTCGCACACTTCCTCCTCAGCAAACATCACTCGCACACTTCCTCCTCAGCAAACATCACTCACACACTTCCTCCTCAGCAAACATCACTCACACGCTTCCTCCTCAGGAAACATCACTCACACGCTTCCTCCTCAGCAAACATCACTCACACGCTTCCTCCTCAGCAAACATCACTCACACACTTCCTCATCAGCAAACATCACTCACACGCTTCCTCCTCAGCAAACATCACTCACACGCTTCCTCCTCAGCAAACATCACTCACACGCTTCCTCCTCAGCAAACATCACTCACACACTTCCTCCTCAGGAAACATCACTCACACACTTCCTCCTCAGCAAACATCACTCACACACTTCCTCCTCAGCAAACATCACT